CTTCAGACGTCTCGATGACGGACAGAGTCCTGGAAATGATCCATTGGGCCACCAAAGGGCTGACCCTCCTGCTGAATCCGGACAAGACAAAGGCTTTTTCTACGACAGCAGAGGCAAGGCGGCACTTGCGTACGAAATTCTTTCAAGGACATCCTTTGCAAGTGGTGCCAACCTCACAGGACCTGGGTGTTGTTTTTACAGCCACTAAGAGAGCAACGTCACAAAAGCTCCATGAACGCCTGGACGCAAATCAGGATAAGTTCGACCGCCTACGCAGCACACAATGGACAGCCGCAAAAAAGTGCCAGGTATTGATAAGAGTGGTTGCACCATCGTTGCTCTTCGGGGCATCTTTGGCATCCACCCCACCTTCTTATTTGGCGCTCTTGCGTGGGCGTTTCTCCGGGGCAATATGGGGTACAAACAACCATCGTGACCATTTTTTGGCACCACTATACAGCGCAACAGAGGTATACGAGCCTTTTTGGATAATTTTCTGGCAGCGTTTTCGAGCAATACGCCGTGCTGGTGCAAGGGATTTTGCAACGTTGGAGCGACGGTGGCAAATAGTTCTACAGAGTGGAAAGGCCTCGGGCCCGCTGCGATATTTCGTGGATTTTATACAAATCATCGCATGGAGGCCAGAGTCAGAGATGACGATACAAACTTGTGAAGGGTCTTTTCACATGCTGCATGCTGATAAGGAGCAGGTTGCCGTTTTCTTGCATAGAGACTGGCTGCGCCATGTTGCCGCCAAAGGGCGGCGTGGAAAATGGGACTATGTCGTAACCACGGATTGGGAGCTCACACATAAGCTGCGCAGGACGTCCAAGGTGAACCTGGGCATCTTGGGGAGCTTCACCGCAGGGGCAGCGATTTTTTCCAATCAAAAACGCCATTTTTTGGATGCCCAACAAGTTTGTTGCAAACATTGTGGCCGCGAGGACACGCAGGCGCATCGTTTATTTGAGTGCCCCTTCTACACGGCTTGCAGACAAGATATTCCAATAGAGGCACTGACGCGATTGCCTTCTCCCCAGACAGAACAAGGTCTGTTCAGGAAGCCGCTGGCGATTAAAGAGTGGGAGGACCTCGCAAACGAAATGACCATGCCGGAGTTCCCACAGATGTTCGATGTACCAGTTTCCCTTTTTACCGACGGTAGTACAGAGCAACTTGGTTTGGTATCTTGCAGTGCTTGGTCTGTTGTTTTAGCTGAGGACAATAAGCTTGATGGCACAATGCTGGAATCAGGGGTAGTCCCGGGCAGACAAACAAACTTCAGGGCTGAACTGATGGCGGCGTTGGTCGCTATCCAATTGGCGCCGCAGGGTTGCTTGTACATTGATAATTCAGCAGTCATCAAGGGGCTTCGGCGACTACAAAAAGAGGGATGGCAAGAACATTTCTGGACAAAAGCAGTTGAGTCATCACTGTGGAGGCAAGTATGGTTTGTTTGGAAAGAGAAGGACCCCAAGGCATGGAATATTCAGCATGTTCGTTCACATAGAGATATCTCCGAGGCAAAGTCTGATTTTGATGCATGGTGCATTTACCACAACGATTTGGCTGATTTCTTTGCAAAAAAGGCCAACCGTGAGCGACCCGTGCAGCAGAAGCAGATTTATTGTCATGCTGCCCGAGAAGGGGCTCGCCTTGAAAAGACGTCCAAACACATCTTTACCTTGCAGAGTCGTGTGTTGCAACAAGCAGGTTCTGGCCAGAAGCGGCCAGCCACCCCTGAAGCAAAAGCACATGAACAGCAGCGGGTCTTCAAGAATGAGGTCACGATTGAAACCCCGCTTGTTCAGGAGATGCAGTTTGCAGATTCATTGCTGTGTCCGCGTTTCCTTTGGGTGTTAGCGCAGTGGATGCAAGGCAAGTGGCTTTCAAGCGAAGCTGGGATTAGTTTGGCAGAAATTTATGTCACATTCATTGAACAAACTGGATGGGTTGTGCCTGTGAATGTTGGTTCTTGGAGGCAGGAGCAACTTCCTGAATGCTGGAGATCAAAAGTTCCTTCAGCGTGGCTGCATGAAACAAGCTATGCGAATCTCCTTCTGTGCAGAACGACTTTTGCTAAGCAGCTGACGATATTCCTTCATTCTTTCAAGTTGTTACTGCGACTTCTCAATATTCCATGCGCATGTTGCCGAGGCCCAGCTTTGACTTCACTAGGACATGGGGCTCCAGTCTCCATGGTGACCATGGCGCCCTATGCTGCGTGCCACGAAGGATTCCGAATCTTGAAACAACACATGCGAGGCCTTTCATTCTCGGCCTTCGGTAAAGTCCGCTTTGACCCAGTGACAAACCCTTGTGAATCACCGGTGGCGCAAGAGCCGCCGCAAGTTATTTGGAATAGGTATTATCAGGCCAACAAACGCCGACAGCGGCAGGCCTAGATGTGATCTTTTTCGAGTGCTCTCTGCTAATTGCAGATATATGCTTCGTCCGAACTTTCGTCCGAAGTGTCTGATGACTGCATGCATAAACCCTAAACCCTAAACCCTAAACCACGGCCTTTGGGGCTGGGCTGCGCTGAAGGAGCTCTCGGCCTACCTGCACGCCCGGGAAGGGGCCAAACATCACCTCGTGGTGCGTCCCGTGCTGTTGGGACCCTGCGACTCAGAGAAAAAAGGATCTCGAAGTTTGGGGTTTAGGGTTTAGGGTTTAGGGCACTGAAGCAGTGCTACTCAGAGAGAGAAGTGGGGTTTTAGGGGGTTCAGGGCTGAGGGTTTAGGGTTTCGGCAACTACTCCTCGTGTTTAGCTGCGATTTCGGTCGTCCAGGTTTAGCACCTTGAAGATCCGATGATCTGCAAGGCAGATCACAGCTGAGGCTACCTGCTGCTGACTCTGGCGCTGGCCAGCGCCACCTTTGCCGTTGGAAGCATCCCGGAGGAGAACAAGGTCGTCCTCTGGTTGACGCAGGCAGCCATCCTGACCATCGGGTTCTACCCAAGCGTGGTCTCATACCGCCAGTACTTCACCGCGCTCGAAGACCTGCATCGTGATCTGGAGGGTTTCACTTTGCAAGGCACAGAGTGTGAGTGTTGCAAGATGGACCACGTGATGAATGGGCAGCGGATGGCTTGCGACCGGGAAGTGGTAATGCGATGCCTGACCTGTTGGTTTGGCAGCGCAGCGCACTTCGAGCAACTGGTGCGTTCAGAAGTGCTACACACCCTCATGCACGAATTGTCCACCGAGTTCTTCAGGTACAAGCGGTGCATTGCACCTCTCATCCCAGTCGCATGGACATACCTAGACACGGCATCTGCAGAGGCTCGGAAGCACTGGGGTACCGGAAAGAACTTCTACACGGAGATCACGAAGGAGCTCGTGCGGGGCGCTGCCTGGTGGCTCTGCGTCGTGCCCTCCATTCTCTTGGTGTTCCTGCGGCTTGCGTATTGCCTGCGGGCCCGGCCCTCCAGGCCATGCTGTGACTGGGTGATCAACGCACTGATCCTGCTGGGCGTTGTGGCCATGTTCGTGGCTGCTGTGCAGCTGGAGTTTGCCTGCATGCTGGTGCACGATACCATTCCCAAGGGCTGGGAGGGGAGGGGGCTGCACTTGGCCATGCTCCTCTTCGCCTCCCTCTGCTTGCCGGTGGCTGTGCTGCTCTTCCAGTGCTTGCATCCCCGCTACAACCGATCGCAAGTGCCAAGCTCGCCAAGCGTGCCAAGCTCGCCAAGCGTGCCAAGCGCGCCAAGCGGTTCAAGCGCGCAATGCGAAGAGACAGCCGCAATACAACCCGCAATACAACTCTAAGTTCAACTCATTGAATGTCTTCTCCAAAGGCCCGCGGGATCCCCCTCCAAAGGAGCGCGAGAAACCGCGCTGGCCGTGCGAACGGGCCCTTGTTGGAGTGATTCCCAAAGATCCTCGAAGTCTCTCGATGTCCCCTTCCCCGATATTTTCGCGCGGCTCCTTGATGAGTTGCAGCCCAAGGTCTCAAAGCCTCAAAGCTTCAAAGGCACTTGAAAATATGGCTTGGTAGTCCCTTACCCTTCTTTTGGGTTATGGGTTCCCTTATAATTAACCAACCCCAGAAAAGGGTGCCCTTATTATCATACGGTTACACCGCTACCAAGACGGCCAGACCCGAGACATCAGGCTCCACATTCTAGTACCGGGACCCCAAAACGGACCACAATGTGAAATACAAGTGGTGCAGGGTTTAGGGTTTAGGGTTTAGGGTTTAGGGTTTAGGGTTTAGGGCTTCAGATTTAGGGTTTAGGGTGGTGCATGGCAAGTATCGGGATGCTCCACCGCTTGGGTATAGATTGGGCAGAGTAGGGCAGAGTACTCGGTGATGAGGCTTTGAGTTGGGTTTGAGACAGGCTCGAAGAGGCCTGCGTGGCAACTTATTCTAAGGCACGCCTCGCGACGGAGCCGCCAGACAAAGGCCTTTGAAACCCTAAACCCTAAAGCCTAAACCCTCAACCCTAAACCCTGAACCCTGAACCCTGAACCCTAAACCCTAAACCCTAAACCCTAAACCCTAAACCCTAAACCCTAAACCCTAAACCCTAAACCCTAAACCCTAAACCCTAAACCCTAAACCCAAGGCCTTTGAAACCTTTGCCCCAAAGGACCCGAGGGGCTCTGAATTCTGAGACCCCAAAAACCCATCCTCGCCGCGACCCAAGATCAAAAAAACCCTGCGAAAGCCCCGCCGCAGGACCCAGACTTCCTTTGGTCTACTGCTTGGAGATTCAGAGAACTTGTAACCCCAGCTATCTTCTGCACTTAAAACCCCCTAGCCCCCTAGTTCCCCCGAGTCCCCTCAACAGGCTATAAGTAGACTTATAACTGGGGGTTATAAGTACCCATGAACCTCCAAGCAAGTAGGGTGGTTGGGGGATCAGGTTTCACGTAACGCCTCCCGTGCCCTAAACGCTAAACCCTCAACCCTAAACCCTAAACCCTAAACCCTAAACCCCAAACCCCAAACCCCCAAAAAAAGGACCCTCCCCTGAAGAGCGTCGGGTGCCAGGACCCGATGCGCTTCACGCATCTGGAGAAGGGCGAATTTGAGGCCGGGGATGTGTGAATGGGTTTAGGGTTAGGGTTTAGGGTTTAGGGTTTAGGGTTTAGGGTTTAGGGTTTAGGGTTTAGGGTTTAGGGTTTAGGGTTTAGGGTTTTTTGCCCTCCGATGTGAATTCTGAGGTACAGGGGGTCAGGGGGATCAGGCGGGTCAAGAAGCAGGTGAGCAGGTTTGGTAGTGGTTTTTTCCGCCCCGCCTGACCTGCCTTGCAGCTGTAAGGGGACGGGACGATGTTGGTATCTAGGGCCCTTTGCTACATTGCACCTGCGATACGTTTATCAGTACAACTACAGTGCACTTCAAGTACTTCACATTATTTACAGTGCAGCGGCACTACCTAAGCGATGCTTGGTTTTCCGTGCAAAGGTTCGGGTTAATTAGCGTATACGTACCATTCACTCTTCACAATTTCACTTCACCGTCACACGTCGCTTAAAAGATGCCTGAGTTTCATGGCGCAGTACACGTTCACAATTACGCTGCGTGTTGATTGCATTCGCTATACTAGGTTTGTGTTATTCTTGCGCTGCAGTGCCAGCTCATTTACGTTGCATGTCTGCATTGCATTTAGTGCTCTGTAGAAGCTCTTTCCCGTGTACCAATCCTTGGCACTCCACATGTGGGTTACCTCTCGGCGTCTTAAAGCGGTACCTTTGTTTCAACATATCTCTAAAACACCCTAAACCCTAAACCCCAAACCCTAAACCCCTAAACCCCTAAACCCCTAAACCCCCAAACCCCGAAACTCCTAAACCCCTAAACCCCTCGACCCCCAAACCCCTAAACCCCTAAACCCCTAAACCTCCAAACCCCTAAACCCCTAAACCCCTAAATCCCTAAACCCCTAAACCCCTAAACGCCCAAACCCCTAAACCCCTAAACCCCCTAAACCCCTAGACCGCCTAGACCCCTAGACCCCTGGACCCCAAGAGGGGGCACCCGCGAGGCTGGGTCTGTCAAGTGGGACATCGTCAACGGAGACTCCTTCCGGTCGAAGATCAAGCAGGTGCCTTTAGAACATCCCAAGAGATACACCCTATAGAAGTACCCTAAACTTTGGAACCTCTTGATTCTTAAGCCCTGAACTCTAAACCCTACACAACCCTAAACCAGAAAAACCTGAAACCGTTTGTTGGAGCGTTGGGGAAGTAGGTTCGGGCTTCGGACGCGGGATGAGGGTTGGAGTCTTTCCGTGTCCTGCACGCACAAGCCTCAGCCCATAGCTTGAATCAGGGTTTAAGGTTCAGGGTTGAGGGTTTAGGCTTCCCCCCCCCCCCCCCCCCCCCCTCATTTTAAGTCCTTCTCAAGGAGTACCCCTATTTTAGTCCTTTATAGACCCCCCCCCCATTTAAATCCCTTATTAGGGAGTACCCCTTGTTTTAATCCCTTATTCCTTCATCGGGATTAGAGCACCCCCTAAGGATTGGCAGTAGAAGGGGGAACATCCCAAGGTACCACAAACACGTCACTCAGATTCCTTGGGCATCCCCGTCGAAGCCTTGCTAGAACCCTCAAAGCCGTCAACAGAATCCTAGCACGCAATCCTAGCACGCCTTGAGTCTTGAGAACCCTAAACCCTAAACCCCCTAACCCTAAACCCTAAACCCCCTAAACCCCCCTAGCCCTAAACCCTAAACCCTAAACCCTAAACCCCCTAACCCCCCAACTCGTCCTCAGCGCGGTGGTACTTTTCATCCGTGGACCCTCTGCCTCCAAACAGCGTGTCGAGACCCTAAACCCTAAACCCTAAACCCTAAACCCTAAACCCTAAACCCTAAACCCTAAACCCTAAACCCTAAACCCTAAACCCTAAACCCTAAACCCTAAACCCTAAACCCTAAGCCCTTCGAGGTTGCCTCGGGCCGCTTCGGCGTCACCGCGGAGTATTTGGCCAATGCCGAGGAGTCCCTACACCCAGAACCCCCCCAAAAAGCCCTAAATACCCTGGAAGATGGCTACAACCCTAAGCGCCCCTGAAGAAGCCCCGGAAAAAGCCAGAGGAACCCCACCCTAAACTTCAAGACCCCGAACACGATAAAGGAGAGGTTGAGCTTTGTTTTCAGGTCGGGGGTTTCAATGGGGTGGGATCGAGGGTGTGGGTCCCTTTCGGGCGTAGGAGGGGGGCCTTTCTTTTGAGGGTCGGGGAGGGTTTTCTCAAGCATCTGTGGAGGGATTCAGGGACGCCTTGATGAGTTGTGAGTTTGGTCCAAGAGTTTGGGGCTCGGGGTCTGGGGTTCAGGGTTTAGGGTTCAGGGTTCGGGTTTAGGGTTTGGGGTTTAGGGTTTAGGCTTTAGGCTTTAGGCTTTAGGCTTTAGGCTTTAGGGTTTAGGGTTTAGGGTTTAGGGTTTAGGAGGATGTCTGGGTCTGGGTCCATGGCCTTCAAAATCCGCACCAGGAGCTGCAGATCAAGTTGGCGCAGGCCGGAGATTGGAGATCAAGAGTTCCTCAGGGACTGGGAAGGTAACCTTGAACCTTTTCGGCTATATAGAATCCTAATACATATGTGTATAGAATCTTAATACATATGTATAAATAAATAAACAAATACATAAATACATAAATAAATAAATATAAATATAAATATATATATATATATATATTATATGTATGTATGAGGTTATCCTTTTTGGGCTCGGGTACTCACTCAGCCCCTATATAAGTTGCTTCATCGCAAGAGCGTGTGGGGGTTTACGAAAATAGGGACCCCTCCAATATAGATCCCCAAAAAAGGAATAATAAGGACCCTAATAAGGTACCCCCAATTTCGGAAACCCCCGCGTGGGTTTCCCTGAGGGGGGAGGGGTAGGTCGAAGGTTTAGGATTCCGGGTGTGGGATTTCTTCCGACCACCCCTTGGGGCAGCGATTCTGCAGCAGCCGTGTCGCCGCCAGTCCGCAAAGAGGCGCAACACGAGCTCGAACAGAGCTGGCATTGGACGAGCTAGTTGTCTGAACTGTCTGGCTTGCCTGCTCCTAGAGGTTGGGGGGGGGGGGGGGGTTAGGGTAGGTTTCCGGTGGATTTTGGGTGCCCTTGACAGGCACAGGAAGCCGAAGGTTGCCAAAAAGCAGCAGAGCATTACTTGTGTGGGGGGGGGGGGAGGGGTGGGGGGGGGGGTTACAGGTCCATGGGAAAGAAGAGTCCCTCACAAAAGGAGAGAAAAAGGGGATGGTAGGTCAGTGTTGGGACAGTATTTTGAGAAAAGCTACCATGTTTGCATGTAGTTTTATACATTTTTAAAACTATGAGATAGATCTCTCCTATATGTATACATATAGACTATGTCGGATACGCATTCCTTCTGATAGTAAAAGATGATGGCTCTCACCCGAAACCCCTCAATTCACGCAACGGGGGCTCTGGGTTTTTCGCTGGGGTCCCAGGTGCAGACCCTCGCCCCGAACCTTACACGCATTACCTTACCTTACACGCATCTCTCTGCCCACCCTGTCTAGAGTTTCAAGTCGTTCCCGAAATTTCCAGATTCGAATTTAGGGCTGTTTTGACAGCCAACCTTAAACCCGATGCCCTGGCCCCTTGTCCAAGACCACGAAAGCCCGGAGCCGGAATCCAAAACTGAGCAAAGAATATTAACTCGCTCAAAAAAGCCACATGAAAGAATGGTCTCGATCAGTCGGCAAAAAAGGGGGGGGAGGTCCGGGGCCGCTTCTGAGGGGTTGCACCGGAAATCGGGGTACTTATTGGGGTCATTGTTATAAGGGAATCCTACTATTTGGGGTGATGTTATAATCGGGGTCCCTGTTTTCGTACCACCCCCAATCCGCGTTTTCCTATAATGGGCACTGCTTTGGGACCCTTTTTTTCATGTCCAAGCTTTTTGAGACTTGGATTTCGAAAAAATCAGAGGGGTCCCGTTTTCAAATCATGTGGAAACTTCTCTTCTGAATCATATGGACCCTGGAAGTTCTCCCTTTCTTTTTTAAAAATAATATGGACCCGTTTCAATCTACCAGAACGCCTCACCTCATTCAAATCATATACACCCGTGAACCATTTAAGGAGAGCGAAAGCCAGCTTCGGACTGTTCAGAGGGGGGGGGGAACACCACGAACGAAAGAGGTTGCAAAACATGCCAGCAACACCTTAATAAGAAGCCCTGCAAGTCCAATGAACCCAATTCTGAGGGCTCAGGGAGCCCTCTGAACCCCGTCAATAAGCCCCCCCCCCCCCCACCGCGTCCCCTCTTTCCGAGCTCCCGAGCCCCCCTGAGCGGGGGATGATTTACTTTCAGTTGTCGGCATTTCACTCCATGAACCTATACCCTGAAGTCGACGATGCAACGCCTTGGACGAAACCCAAAGCCCTAAACCCCTAAACCCTAAAACCCCTAAACCCCTACTAAACCCCTAAACCCCCTGGGACCCGAAACCCACCCTAAAGCCCCCCTAAACCCCATTAAAAAAACCCTAAACCCTAAACCCCTAAACCCCTAAACCCCTAAACCCCTAAACCCCCACCTAAACCCTAAAACCCTAAAAACCCCACCTAAACCCTAAACCCCTAAACCCCTAAACCCTAAACCCCAAACCCCCTAAACCCCTAAACCCTCTAAACCCCTAAACCCCCGTAACCTAAACACCTAAACCCCTAAACCCCTAAACCCCTAAACCCCTAAACCCCTAAACCCCTAAACCCCTAAACCCCTAAACCCCTAAACCCCTAACCCCTAAACCCTAAACCATAGACCGCCTTCTCCACACTCCCAGAGCCCTCCGTCCCTCTAAATTGGACCCCTTCAGGGCGCCAAGCCGGGCGAAGGTGGTGAGCTGCCGGGCTACAAGGCCAAGGGTTTTGGGCAACCGAAACCCTGTAATCTCTAATCCCTAAAGCCCTAAGCTCTAGTTAAAATCTGCGGCGGGGAGGGATTCCCAGGGTGCTTGTTTTGAGGCAAAGGCCCAACCTTCTTCGGGGTTTCCTCGAGCATGTTGGGGTACATTTGGGTGACCTCTATTTTGACAACTACCCTCACCCTAAGCCCTAGACCCTGATCGCTAAACCCTGCATGACTGTGCTCATCATACACCCTGAGCAGTGCAGGTCATCGGCAAGATTGCCGAGACACGGAAGGCCACGCCCGGTGTGGGGTTGATCTCACCACCTCCGCACCACGCTGCGGGCCTGCACTTGGGGGGGAGATTCCGACAATTTCGGGCTTTTTGTTGGGTTGGTGTGTTTAAGCTTCTAGAGTTTTAAGCGTTTTTTCAGGGAGGTGATGCTGCATATGTGTGGGGTCTAAAGAGGCATGCTGTTACTTGGAAACTCCCATTTGGTGTGTGCGTGTGTGTGTGTGTGTGTGTGTGTGTGTTGTTTTTTTTTCTGAATTCGGCTTCCTAGTGTCCTTTGTAGAACTCCAGTAGAAGGGCTCACAGGGTTTAGAGCCCTAAACACCTTACACCCTGCACCCTAAACACTAAACCCTACATGTTTACGCAAGGTACCCTTGAACCAGCCCGCCATGCCGCAAAGCCTGCAGACCCTAACACCCTGGGTAGGCCCTTGTGACCTCTTACATTTTTCCCTTTTTGGGTTTATGAGGATTATGTGTAGTCCCTTGTTGGGTCTATGCAGATTATATGTAGTCCCTTATTGGGTTTATGCGGGTTATATGTAGGATATTTTTGTTGGGGCCAACCTTGCACCTCGGCTCCAAACCCTGAACTCTAAACTCTTCGAGCCTTGGACAACCTCCGCGCGTCCTGCGACGGGACGTTCAAGCTTGTCCAGCTTAACTAAGTCCTTCTCACCATGGGCTTCCTCTTCAAGGATTTGCATCCTGCAGGGCCTGTGAGCGGCTTCCCGACCTCTTTTCAGGAGGCGATCTTCGCGTTATCCAACAAAGAAGCAGCGCGAGGATACCGTGCGATGTTCGAGGCGCTCATAGCGTATGTCTTGGAGAAGAAGCAGGTGGACTTGAGGCCAAGAATCAAACAACTGCATGGAGACCTCCATGCCGGACTGGAGCGTGCCAGAAAGTAGCCTGACGGGATTGTTCGAGTTGTCCGGGCATCTGAACCCCTTTAGGGTTTAGGGTTTAGGGTTTAGGGTTTAGGGTTTAGGGTTTAGGGTTTAGGGTTTAGGGTTTAGGGTTTAGGGTTTAGGGTTTAGGGTTTAGGGTTTAGGGTTTAGCCTCAACACCCTAAACCGTAAACTCTTTGACGCCACACCGCGCTGAGCCCAAGCCTTATAGCCCCACTGGCCCAAGGTTCGAACTTCCCCAGGTCCCTTTCAATTCCTTAGGCTTTGACGACCCGCGAGCCCCGGAACCTTCTGTTTTCAGGGTTTTGGAGCTTAGAGGGTTTAGGGTTCAGGGTCTAGGGGTTAGGGTTCAGCCCAAACCCGATAACAGAAAACCCCTAAACCCTAAACACCAAACTCTAACACCAAAACTCAAGCTCAGGACATGTACTCCATCGAGGATGTGGCACAACTCATCAAGGCCGAGATGTGGAGAGTTGAGGGTCACTGCTTTGGGGCCTTGGGCGCTCCAGAGCCCTACTCAAAACCCCAAGCCCCAAAGTTTAAAAAACCCTAAGCCCTACAAACAAAGCCCTAAAAGCCGTGAGGTTAGGAGACCCTTCACCCTTCCGGGCCTTCGGTTTGGGCTGTTCGTTGCGTTGCCATGGATCCGGGTACTACGACAGAGAAACTCTTTTTTTCAAGGCTTTTCCGAGGGAGGGTGAGGTTTTGTTGGCGTTTTGGGGGTGCTTTGGATTTGCAGGGTAGCCCTGACTCCCGAAGGCCTAAAAAGCCAAAGCCCCAGAACCCCAAGCCCTAAAACACGCTAAAGCGCCCGAACCCTAAAACCCTCATCCCCATCAAGGAACCTCCTAAGCCCTAAACCGAAACCCTGGGATGTAGGACGTTTGTCGCAGGCCAATGGATCCTCTTGGCAGGCATCAAACGGCACAAAAACAGCACAAGAATTCCCTAACCCCCTGAACCCTAAACCCTAGACTAGACCGCTAAACCCTGAACCCTAAACCCTAAACCCTAACACCCTAAACCCTAAAACCCTAAACCCCAAAACCCGTAAACCCTAAACCCCCCTTAACCTGGACCTCTTTGACTTGCAGTGGCGTGCAGCGCAGGATCTGAAGAATGCCAACCCCTCGGCGCGCATCTCCGCCCTTCGCCGGCATGTGTAGGGTCCGTTTTGTTCCCAAGCCCTAAACCCCAAACCCCAAATCCTAACCCTAAACCCTAAAACCTGAAACCTAAAAACCCGTGTTTTAGTGCTAGTAGGGTTTGGGGTTTTTAGGGCTCTGGTGCGGCAGGAGGGAGTTTGTGGGGCTTGTGGCCCGCGAAAGTTTGGGGGGGAACTTGGTCCACACACCGGAGTTCTGAGAACGATTGCCTGCACTTGCTGGTTGCTTTCGTGCTGGTTTGTTTGTTTACTTTCCTTTTCTGTGTTTTTTTTGTGGGGGGGGGGGGGGGGGGGGGGCGGGCCGGCGGAAAGTCCCTACACCGGACTTTTGAGGCTCCGCGTGGGTTGTTGTCATCCTGTTGAATGGTCTTGTGGTGTTCCGAGGCAGGTGGGCTTTCTTCCGGTCGCCTGTTCTGATGCCATGCGCCGAAATGCTCTCCACCCGAATTTCGCCACCCGAGTTGTAAGAATGATGGTGACGTCTGTTTGTTTTTTCGTAGAAAACAACCCCCTCTCCGTCGTCGGATGTGGTTTAGGGCTTAGGGTCAGGGGTTTAGGGTTTACAGGGTTTAGGGTATAAGCAATCTGAGCTGCTCCGACCGCTTGAGCCGCTTGAGATGACGGACAAGCCCTTCAGCCTCCTAACTCGGAGGTTGGGATGTTCCCCCTTGTACTAAACAGTCCTTAATAGGGATTCTAGTACCCCCAAACCCTAAACCCTAAACCCTAAACCCTAAACCCTAAACCCCAAACCCCAAACCCCAAACCCCAAACCCCAAACCCCAAACCCCAAACCCCAAACCCCAAACCCCAAACCCCAAACACCAAACCCAAACCCCAAACCCCAAACCCCAAACCCCAAACCCCAAACCCCAAACCCCAAACCCCAAACCCTAAACCCTAAACCCTAAACCCTATCAAGGACTGCCAGTAGAACTCCCAGGTGAAGCTCGTGGCTCGCCTGGGCATCGGCGTGATCGCCTCCGGGGTCGTGAAGGGCAAGGCCTCGGCGATTCCCGGAGTTTTGGGGTTTAGGGTTAGGGTTTAGGGTTTAGGGTTTAGGGTTTAGGGTTTGGGGTTTGGGTTTAGGGTTTAGGGTTTAGGGTTTAGGGTTAAGTTTTAGGGTTTAGGGTTTAGGGTTTGGTATTCAAGGGACACAGTTGCTACCTTGGACACCCAAGCTTGTGCCCCCCCCCCCCCCCCCCCCCTTATGGAAGAGAACCCTTCGGACGGGCAGTCTTGAGGGAAACCCTAAGCCCTGAACCCCAAACCCCCTTAACCCCCCAAAAAAAATCAAGTAAAGGGTAGCCCTAAGCCCCTAAACCCCAAGTCCTACACCCTACACCCTAAACCCCCTCCGTGTGTGGAAGCCCCCCCCCCCCCCCCCTAAACCCTAAACCCTAAACCCTAAACCCTAAACCCTAAACCCTAAACCCTAAACCCTAAACCCTAAACCCTAAACCCTATGTGCGGAAGCCCCCCCCTGATATCAGGCCGACCACCTGACCATCTCCGGAATGTCCGGTGGCACGGGCGCGGCAAAGTGGGGCTCCATCAAGCACTGCGGCACCCTGGCTTTTAGGGTCTGGGGTTCAGGGTTCAGGGGTTAGGGTTTAGGAATTTTGGGTTTGGGGTTTAGGGTTTTGGGTTTTGGGTTTTGGGCGTTGAGGGCCGTTTTTTGTTTTTTCAGGGGGGCTCCTCGGTTGAGAGTTTCGGGTTTAGTTGAGCAGGGTTCAGGGTGTTAAGTTTCGGGGCTTAGGGGTTGGGGGGGGAGGGGGGGCAAGCCCTTGGGTGTTCGGTGAGTTTGTCCCTCGTAAAGTCGCCAACCCCAAAAAGGGCGCCCTTTCTTTAATATGGTTCCTGGGCTACTATGTGCAACCCCCAAGAAAGAAGCAACCAAGGACCCAGAGTAGGCCCTTACTCCCCCTTGTTAGGGTTTAGGTTGCCTGATAGTCCCCTTTAGAGCAAAGAGGGCACCCTTTTGATTCCTAAGTTGCTCTTGGGTCTACAAATTCCCATACCCTAAACCCTAAACCCTAAACCCTAAACCAGAAACGGCCTGTAGTGTTTCCGCGGGCTTCATGTCAAGAAAACAAGCAGCCTCCTAGGTAGGATAAGGGGGACCCTTAAACGGGAACCCTTCTGAACCCTCTTCTGGCTCTCTTGAAGAGGGACCTTATTCAGAGGGTCTATATCCCCAAGGGTCCCCCTGATCCCCTAAACCCTAAACCCTAATCCCCTAGACCCTAAACCCTAAACCCTAAACCCTAAACCCTAAACCCTAAACCCTAAACCCTAAACCCTAAACCCTAAACCCTAAACCCTAAACCCTAAACCCTAAACCCTAAACCCTAAACCCTAAACCCTAAACCCTACCCCCTACAACTGAAGGACTGCCATGGGAGATCGGGTTGGCCGAGACGCATCAGACTCTGGTCCTCAACGGCCTCCGCACCCTGGGCAGGGAAGTTCAGTGATCCCTCAACACTCAACCCTAAACCCTAAACCCTAAACCCTAAACTCTTGGGGCTGAGGATGGTCAGGGGAGTTTCGGGGTTTAGGGTTTAGGGTTCAGGGGGCTGTTTGGGAGGGTTCTTGGGCCTTTTGGCGGTTGGGTTTGGGGCTTCGGGCTTGGGATTTAGGGTGTAGGATTTCGGGTTTAGGGTTTTGGGTTTGGGATTTAGGGTTGAAGTCTCAAGATCATTTAGGGGGCTGATGATTGAGGGCATGGGATGGTTGAGGATTTCAGGGTTGGGGGCAGTGTGTTTGGTGGGTGCTTTTTGGGGGAGGAAGACGTGAGCCAAACCCGCAATAAGGGTTTAGGGTTTAGGGTTTAGGGATGCAACTTCTTGAAACAACTCATTGGGTGAATGGCGGACAGCCCCAAGCCACGGGCCCGCGCCTGTGTGTTTTTGGATTTGTGCGGTGGCAATCGTAGGGCCCGAAACCCTAAGCCCTGAAGCCTAAACCCTTATAGGCCCTACTATAGGGGTCGGAATAAACTACTAATAGTATTCCCCTAGGGCCCCTTTATAATTATACTACAATAACCCCCAAACCTATTCCAACTATTCAGGCCCCAACATTCATCAAGTGTGTTATATATTGATAAAGGTGATGCTAATTGGCTAATAAAGAAGATTTTCGGCGTTCCATAGCAGCAGTGTCTTGTGTCTTGTATACTGCCAACTCTCCTTGGGGAATGTTTCTCGGGGCGCAAGGTGCAAGAGGGCTCGGGTACAGGGCCTTAGGGCTTTAAGCTTTCTGAGGTTTTGGGGCTATAGGTTCATAGGAGCCCTCAACCCTAAACCGACCCTAATCCCTCTCTGTTGTCTGTGCTTGTGAACTCGAGGCAACCGAGTGACCCTGCAGACGGATGGACAGGCCGTGGCCGACAAAGCCCAAGAAGAAAGTTGCCATAGGGGGGGGGGGGGGGGGGGGGGGGGGGGGCGTATCACAATGGGATCCCCAAAAAGGGACCACCATTGTGAGAACCTCCCATATTGTCCTTCTTGGGCAACCTTACCCCCAACGCCCTGATCCTTCAATACCCTTCATACCCCAAATGCCCTCAATTTACCCACAAACCCCGAAAAAAAAACATATTAGTAATAGTAACAATAACAATCATAATCATCCTAATCATAATTTTAGGTCTCACAAAGCAATAAGAATTATCACAATAACAATAGCAAGAACCACAGCACAAACAGCCCGAGAATCCCTCCTCCCCCTGGTTCTTAGTAGGGAATGAGGGAATTAAGGCCCCATATATGTATATATATATATACATATATATATAGATACATACCCTTTAAGGGCTTATACAGGGTGCCTCATTCCCTAAACCCTAAACCCTAGACCCTAAAAAGAACCAGCCAGTCCTTGCGCGCTTCGGAGGTGCGCACGGGCCGGGACGTGGTGATCGCGGCCATGCTGGGCGCAGAGGCCTCCGCGGCTTTTTTTTTGTTTCTCCTTCGCCAACTTTAGGGTTGTTGTTGAGGCTTTTGGAGGGCGTTTTAGGGTTTTGTTCTATGGTTTGAGGGCTTTGTTAGGGTCTTTTGGGTGTTTTTTTTTCGGGTTTTTGTTAGGTTTGTTTTAGGGCTTTAAGGGTCTTAGGGTTTCAGGGCTTTTGCCAACAGTGGAATTTCGAACTTTAGGTTTTTTGGGATTCCGTATTTAGTTGGACTAATAAAGTTTGTTTTTATTTTTCCTTGGTTCTTGGAGAAGTTCGTTTGTCGGGGGCCCAGAAAACCGTCTAAGGCACTTAGAAGTTTTAGCTTTCTTTTGGGTTTTCCGGGCTTTTGGTGTTTTTTGGTGTTTAGAATTTTGGGGTTTTGGGGGTTTTCAGGGGCTCAGAGGCGAAGAGCTCCACAGAGTTCTCGTGGATGGTAGCGTAGCGAATGACGGAACAACATTGCCTACTGCCGCTTCTCCTCTCTTCCCTAAAACGCTGAGCCCCAAACCTCAAATCCTAAATCACTAAAGCACCGGGGGTTTGTAGGAGGGGGTGGAGTTAGGAGGTTGAGGGAGGGTATTTGTTGGGATGTTCCCTTTTATACTACCAGTCCTTAGGTACTTGAATGATTTGAGAGGCTTTGGGGGAGCCAAAGCTCAGGGGGGGGGGATGGCAACAAGGGTGTTAAATGCAAGAGAAGCCGAGTTGCCACCTCCCGAGTCGGGAGGGAGTCCTATGGTCGGCTAGTTGCTTAAGAGCCCGAGAAGAAGAAAAGAGCATTCCTCCTGAAAAGGGCAGTATGGAGGTGTACTTGGTTTTTTTCGGTGTCCTTAAGTTAGGAGTGGTAGTTGAAGCACGCCCGTTTAGAGCTTCGACCTTCTGTCATAGATGTCGTCGCGTCGCGCTCGGGCAAGCACGCCTCTTGCCGACACGGTGAACACCACATCGTTCGAGAAGCCGGCATCTTTTTCTCCCAACACCAGAGTTTTCGCGAGGTCATCATCCGATCGCGGTGGAAACCTTAAATCCCTAAGCCCTTGAACCCCCCTATGCCCCTAAACCCTCCAGGGCTTAGGGGTTAGGGCCGATGCCCCAACCATCCTCAAGTTTCATCTGGCCTCCCAGATTTCCCTCCGGCTGCGAGGAGATTGCCATGACGACAGCTCCGCTCATCACGCTGGGATGCATCATGATGAGGACGGCTCCTCTAAACCTCAGGGTTCATAGGGTTTACAGGGTTTTCAGGGTTTGTAGGGTTTGAAGGGTTTCTAGGTTTTCTAGGGTTTCTAGGTTTTCTAGGGTTTGTCGCGTTTACCGGGTTGGGGAGCTGATGGTGAAGGGACCCTGAGTCCTCTTCCCCCATGTAACCCCTGTATATACCCTTCTAAAGTCCTGATATACCTAAGTAGCTCTAAAACAACCCCGAAATAGCCCCTAAGGTCCCTTGAGTGTTAGGGGACCCTAAACCCTAAACCCTCAACCCTCAACCCTAAACCCTAAACCCTCAACCCTCAACCCTAAACCCTAAACCCTAAACCCTCAACCCTCAACCCTCAACCCTCAACCCTCAACCCTAAACCCTGAACCCTGAACCCTGAACCCTAAACCCTAAACCCTAACCCTAAGGTCCCTTGCGTGTTGGGGGGGGTCTCTGTTGTCAGGAAGTGCCACTTGAACACCTGCCCTGTGGGCGTCGCGACGCAGGATCCGGACCTGCGAAAGAAGTTCACAGGCCAGGGGATGTGCCGCAGGGGTTTAGGGTTTAGGGTTTAGGGTTTGGGGTTTAGGGTTTAGGCTGTCTTGTGTCATATTCTGGCTTGGCTCTTTGTTTCGGTCTGACTTGATTCAGCGCGACCTGGGTGGCCAGAATCCAGCGGTTTGGGGAATTGGGGGCTCTCTGAACATGTGGGGCTTTACGAACATAAGGGACCCTTAGCATAGTCCGTCAAGTAGTAGGGTCCCCCTACAAGCGGTTTGATGTCAGGAATTCGGAGTGCCGCTGCCCCCTATAGAAACCCCCCCCCCCCCCATCTTGCTCGAGGCTTGATGTCAGGAATTCGGAGCGTCGCTGCCCCAAATCTCTCAAACCCACACCCACACCCCGTTCGTCGGAGGCCTGTCGTGCTGGCAGGGGCGGGAGGGGACGCATCGGTTTGGCCAGGTAAAGCAGACTTTCCCGGGAATGCTCATGCGTTTTCAGCAGTCCTTGCCAAGGCCCTAGAAACCCCCAATGAAGCCCCAAACCCTGTCATCTCGGTCGTCTCCTGCCTTTGCTAGAAGAGGCCATATCAGCGACAGCTTAGTTCAGTGCAGGTCGGTCTAATGCGAAAAATCGAGATGGCATGAAGCAGGGGTGCATGGTGTGCGGGATTAGGGCCTACATTCAAGAGCCTCATGCACATCCTCGACAGGCCAGCCTGAGCATCTCATCAACTACCTCTTCATGGTGGCCCGGCTTGCGCTTGATGGCTTGCGCTCTTCGCGTGCAGAGTCACTCCTTGATGACGTAAGACAGGAACTCAGCAAACTGCAAAACCCTGAGAGCGCGCCACTTGCTTCCAAATCTTAGAAAGGCAACCATGGGGGTTGCCATGCTGGGTACTTCTCTCTTGTAACTCTTCAAGGGATTAGGGGGAGATAATTTGTTGGTAATGGTCCAAGCCCCTGGCATTGAGGGCCCTGCGGCTGGGGGCTGTGGGTGGAGGGCTTGTGGCTGAGAAATCCTAGGCAAGAAGCCTAGGTTTTGGGGTGTAGGGCTGGTAGATACTGAGCCCTAAGCCCAAAGAAAACCGAACCGTCAACCCCAACCCCTTGAAGTCCTAAGCCCCCACACCCCAAAAAGCTGAACAGCAACCCTAAACCGCTAAATGCCAAAGCCTGAAAACCCTGAGTGGGAGCGCTGGAGACGAACAACCAGCAGGATGCGATTCTGGACCCTAAGCTACTATTTGCTTAACAACCCCAAAAGAACGAAAACAACATAAGCCCTATGTTGCCCTTATAAGGAAGAATATTGTTCATTTTTTGGGGTGTTCTTACGCAATTAGTAGTAAACCAAAACCGCCAGTGGTCCCTGACCAGGAGCCCTCCATTTGTTTTTGAAGTTTCGGAGCTTGGCCGTTGGGGTTCAGGTTTCAGGGGTGCTAAGGGTCTGCGGTTGGGGCGATTCAGCCTCAACCCTGATCCCCTCCTCATACTCAACTAAACCCTAAACACCCCGAATCCTCAACTTTAAACCTTTCAACCCCAAAGTCTGAATAACCCTAAGCCCCTTGAACCTTCGGCCCTGAAATCCTAAACCCCGAAACCCCGAAACCCCGAAACCCCGAAACCCCAAACCCTCAACCCGAAACCCCAAATTCCCTAGACCCTAAACTCTTTGAACCCTTACACGCCGGCGCCCAGGTTGCTGAGGAGGCACGCGAGATTATGGCCTCGTTGGGCAGCTTGCTGTTCAACTCTTCGAGGGCTGTTTTTTCAGCAGGTTCTTTTGTTTTTGGGCTCGAGAGTTCGGGGTTTAGGGCTGAGGGTTTGTTCAGCAGGGTTCGTTGTTGTTTATCGAGAACATAGGGCTCGTGATTTTTGGAGCAATTGTTTTGTTTTTTCTTCTCTTTTGGGGCTTCCCCAATTGACTTGGCGCGTTTTTTGGTTCTGCAGGGCTTAGGGTCCAGGAGAGAAGGTTCAGGGTTTCGGTCTGAGAGTTCGAGCTTCGAGATTTTCGGGGGGACGTTTGATTCAGAATTCTGGGGTCGATAGGGCCGCCAGTGCCAGATGCTCGGTTCAAGAGGGGTGTTCCCCATAAGAAGGGGGTTACTCCGAAGATATCCCAAATCTCTCATCCTCATAAATTACAGGAAGGCACCCAAGAAAGGGTACCTTTTGTGGAGTGGGATCTTCGAGTCAACGGAACCCTACACAGCTGGAGCCATTTTTTTTTTTTTTGGGGGGGGGGGGGGGTACATGCGTCGCTGTGGAGGGATAAACCATGCGCTCTTTGCGTTTGCAGCCTTGTCGCCTTTTCCACCCCTAATCCCTCAATCCACAGCCATATGCTGTCTACAGTCCTGCAAGAGCCTTTTTCATCCAGATCTCCCCCGCCCTTTGGTGGTTTCTGGGGTTTGTGTCTTTCGGGTGTGTGTGTGGGGGGGGGTTTTGCTTGCAGGGCTGTTTAAGACAGGGGCGGGTGGGGCTTTGTTTGGGCTTCAGGGGTCGGACCTACAACCCCAGAAAACCCTAAGAAGCTCATACGGTTGAGGGGTTAGGATTCAGGGTTTAGGGTTTAGGGTTTAGGGTTTCGGGTTTAGGGTTTAGGGTTTATAAACCCCAGACCCTCCCTCTGCAGCTCATAAGGCATCAAGAAGTTCAACGACCTCATCGGCCGTACCGACTTGCTGCGACCCAAGGGCTACCTGAAGGCGGGGGGGTTTAGGGTTTAGGGCTTAGGGCTTGGGGTTTAGGGTTTAGGGTTTAGGGGGGGCAAGGGCTTTAGGCTGGCCCTCTCCGGGCTTTTAGAATGGTCACTTCTCTGAGCAGTGGTCCCTTTTTTGGGGGGGGGGTTGTTGTTGTAAGTTTTGTTTTCAGATGATTGGGCTTCTTAGGGCTATGAGGGTTTAGACTTCTGGGGTTGAGGGATCTTAGGTAGGTACTGTAAGCAGACGTTTGAGAGCCTCTGCTAAACACTGAACACCTCTCTCAACCCTAGCCCTAAACGCTATGCTGAGAAGCAGGGCTTAAGGGTGGTGTACAGGCATCGTATTCTTCAGTCCTAAACCCTCCACCCTAAACCCTAAACCCTTTCGATATTGCCCCCAAAAAAGCGTTTCTTCACCCCTAACGTGTCCCTTGCAAGAGCCGCTTCGCGAAACATAGCGCCATTGGCGAGACTCAGGGGTTTGTGTGGTTTATGGTTTAGGGTCTTTAGAGTTTAGGGTTTTTCGGGTTTAACCGAAAAGCCTGGACTGCCAAGCCCCCAAGTCCACCCGCGTGCTTCCGCTCCCGCCGGGCCAAAACCCTAAAGCCCCTCAAGCCCGTCCAAAACCCCTAGCCCCTCAGAACAACCCTAAACCCTGAACCCTACCTAAACCTACCGAGAACCCCTGACTACTAACACCTCGAAAGCCAGCCTACCCCCCCCCCCCCCCGTTTCCAGCAGCAGAAACCCGAAGCTTCCCAAAAAAACACGGCCTTGTGTTGGGCCAGCTGGGGGGGGGAGAACGGAAGGGGGGCTTTGGACCCTGAGCCCTAAACCCTTAAATCTGAAGCCCTAAACCCTAAACCCTAAACCCTAAACCCTCAACCAGGACAACCCCAAGACCGCGGACCTGGACTTCGCGGACCTCCTGAAGCCTGCCTGGACCATGGAGAACTCCATGAGCGCCTTGGGGCTTGTTTTGCTTTTTGCTGTGGGTTTAGGGTTTAGGGTTTAGGGTTTAGGGTTTAGGGTTTAGGGTTTAGGGTTTAGGGTTTAGGGTTTAGGGTTTAGGGTTTAGGGTTTAGGGTTTAGGGTTTAGGGTTTAGGGGAACCCCAAACGCAGACCCGATGGGGACCTGCTCCTTTCTCAGCGCCCCTGATGCCAGGCAACATTGCGGACATGCCGATGTACTGCTGTGAGCCGCAAGACCACGCTCCCTGGCAGCAAGCGGCGGGGAAGAGTGCCCTAAACCTACCCTAAACCCTAAACCCTAAACCCTAAACCCTAAACCCTAAACCCTAAACCCTAAACCCTAAACCCTAAGGTCTGCAAAGCCTCGAAGAATCGCCCTTCAAGCCCCCAAGCCTAAACCCTGCGAGCCCTACACCCTAGCCCCCTAGCCCCCTTCAAGCTCTACAAACCCCAAACCCTAAACCCTAAACCCTAAACCCTATGAAGACCTAACAGCCCGAACCCCTACAAGCCTACACCCCTAAACCCCTGAAAGCCCAGAACCAAAATCCCAAAGGAAGCCCCAAGAATGAAGCCCTAAACCCTAAACCCTAATTAAACCCTGAACCCTAAACTCTAAACCCTACTAAACCCTAAACCCCAAACCCTAAACCCTCAACCCCCAGGAGCTGGCGCACGCCTTGGACCAGAGCCTCATCTCCCGCTGCGCGCCTGCTCTGCAGGATAAGGAGAAGGCGCCCCCCTTTCTGAGAGTTTGGGGTTTAGTGTTTAGGGTATAGGGAATGGCTTCAGGATACGATTCAAGAAAGATTTCTTTCAGAAGGCTTTGAGTGTAAGATTGCTTAATGTTAGAGGCAGGTCTTACGGGGCTTTACAGTGGGGTGTTTTTAGGGCGTAAGGCATAGCAGACGATTCAGGGTGCAAGCTTTTGGGGAACGGTTGCGGTCAGTCCTTCGCACCATATGCGTCTTGAGTTTTAGTTGGGCTTGGGAGGGTGGAGATTTACAGGGTTTAGGTCGTTGGTTTCATAGGGTTCGTAGGGCTTCAGGGCTTGTAGGGCTTAGGGTTCTTGTGGTTGGGCTCGGGATTCTTGAGATTGGGGGTGCAAGGTTTCGAGGTGGGCTCGGCATTCCGAAAGATGCTGGGTGGGAAGGGGCTTCAAGGGTTGGGACTCGCAGTTGGAACGCCGTCTCACTAATTAGGGTTTAGGGTTGGTTTAGGGTTTAGGGTTAGGGTTTAGGGTTTAGGGTTTAGGGTTTAGGGTTTAGGGTTTAGGGTTTAGGGTTTAGGGTTTAGGGTTTAGGGTTTAGGGTTTAGGGTTTAGGGTTCAGGGTTTAGGGTTTAGGGTTCTCTTCTCAGTCTTTTTCTTCGTTTTGAACCTTGCGTGCTCTCTATAGGCCGCTTAGGGTCCTACACCCTAAGCCCGACGTCGTAAACCCTAAACCCTAAACCCTAAACCCTTTCTGGGACCCCGTCGGGGCAGGTCCACCTCAAGGGCATCAACATCAACAACGTAGATCGCTCCGTTGGAGGAATTCTCAGCTTCGAGGCCTCTAAGGGGTTTGGGGTTTTGGGGGGGTTTAGGGTGTAGGGTTTTTAGGGTCTATAGGGTTTGGGGGTTTAGGGTTTAGGGTGTTTGGGCTTTCGGGCTTTGGGGTTTAGGTGTTTTAGAGTCTCGGGTTTGGGGGGTTAGAGGGTTTCGAGGGTTCAGGGAGCTAGGGGTTTCGGGCTTGGGCTTTCGAGATTCGAGGGGTTCAAGGGTTGAGGGATCTAGGGTGAAGGGTTGGGAGGGCTTCTAAGGGCTTTAACCCTGAACCCTAGACCCTAAACCCTGAACTCGAAACCCTGAGTCATTGTTCAGGTGCTTCATATTGTAGTAAGCCTAAACTCCAAACAGGGACGGGGGCCTAAACGGTCACAGGCGCGCAAAAACCCGTACACGAACTGCTGCGCACATGCTTTTCATGTGGGTGGGCAGTAAAGCATGGGAACTACATAGGCTGGCTGCCAAGCAGGGGCATAGGCCAGCGCAAACACCCATCCATTATCACCCAATAAGTATTTAACGTAATACAATATCAAAATACAATGAAATTATTATACTTTAAGGACTATAATTTAAGGTTCCCGTCAATCGCAAGAAGCCAAGGACACGGAGATCTTTCCGCCCCGCTGTTGTTACGGATCAAGTGGAACACCCTCGCCCCCACATCGCTCCCGCTGTTGTTAGGGATCAAGTGGAACATGCAATTATCAACCCCCCCCCAACCAAGACCACCTTTCCACCACGGTTGTCAGGGAGCAAGTGGGAGCGCACGTTACTATCAACCTCCCCCTCCCCCGCCCCCCCCCCCCCCCCCACCGTTGCCCCTGCCCCCTGCCTTTTCACCCCGAACACGCCATTGTCAACCCCACCCCTCACCCCCAAGCAAGAGATGATCTACCCCAAAATCCACACTCACTTGTGACTACGAACATAGTCGCAAGTGGGTTGCTGAAAAAAATCGTCGCAGGTGAAATTGACGCCCCCTCTCACTTCTAGAAACAAATAGAAAAATAGTCGCAAGTGAGTCGGCTGAAAGCCGCCTATCGCAAGTGAGAACAATGTAAGTCACAAGTGAGAAGATTTGGGCATTTCACAAAATAGCGGTACCCCTGTACCCCAAATTGAAGCGAATCCCTTCAACCCGAAAAAGGGCACCCCTATTGTCGGAACCCCCCCCCCCTTTTGTAGGCGCCAGTGAGTGGTTGGCCGGCTTGCGGGGGGGGGGGGGGGGGTAGGGCAGGGCCCTTTGGAACTTTCCACTTTGGAGCCCGACAGTCCCGAACCACAAGGGTTTAGGGTTTAGGATTTCGGGTTGAGGGCCTAGTCCAGGGTTTAGGGAGGGGGTTTAGGATCTCATCCCGAACCAAGAAGCTCCAAACCCTAGACTCTCGACCCCTTTGAGCCCTAAACACCAGACTAGACTAGACTCAAGAAACCCTGAAGCCATATTCAAAGCCCCCCTCCTCACCCGCTAGACCCCAAATCCTCTGCCCTAAACCCTGAAGCCACATAAGTCTTAATTTCAACCACCCCCCCCCCCCCCCCCCCCCCCCCCCCCCCCCACCCAAAAGGTCAGCAAGAAGTTCGGGGCCGGTGGGCTTCCGGAGGGCACGCTGCACGTCTCCTTCATTGGCAGCTCCGGAGCGGTTTTTCCGGGGGGGGTTGGAGTTTCTTTGGGGGAGGACGTGAACCCCTAAGATTGGGGGTCATGTACCACCCTGACTGCTATGATTCCTACTATAAGGTAGATGAGCCGCGAGCCCTTTTAGGGTTCATTTAGTACCCAAGGTTGATTTGCCCACCCTCAGAGAATAGTGTTTAGGGCTTACGGTTTAGTGAATGTCTTTGAAGAAACCTTGAGAAGGGCTTCTTGGGGCTTAGGGATCCCTCTAAAGCCTCTGACACCCAGCGATTTTCTCAGCCCCTTCCCCAACAGAAGGTCCGACATCTGTGTAAAGTTGATCAGACTACCTGTCCCCCGAACTACCACCAGGTAGGTTTCTGTTGGGTTTTAGGGGGGTTTGGGGGTGCTCTTACTCGTGGGGTGTGTTGAGAGGTTTCGGGTGTTGGGGTGTTTGAGGCGTTTTAGGGTGCTTGGGGGTGCTTTTAGGGTGTTTCTAGTGTTTAGGGGTGTTTTGTGGTGTTTTTTGGGTGTTTGGGGTGTGTTTAGGGTTAGGGTGGAAGATGTCGTCCTGGACGAGCGGCAATTGGAGAAATCACTTCACCGGACCATGCTGCGTTTGTGGCACGATGCATGGCAACTGCGGACCTGGATGACAAGAAAGCTCTGAAATACCGGAGTCGCGCAACCAAATCTTTGCGATGGGAGCACCGGACAGATTTCTGCGGCAAGGCCGCTGAGGAGAAGCCCTAAACCCTAAACCCTAAATAGGACTCCCTGCGGCCCAGTCCTCCCCGTCTGCAGCACCGCTACTGTATGAGTAGGGTTTAGGGTTTAGGGTGTAGGGTTTAGGGTTTAGGGTTTAGGGTTTAGGGTTTAGGGTTTAGGGTTTAGGGTTTAGGGTATGTGGAGCCAAGATGGACAAGAGTAATCTGCGGACGCGCTGGCAACAGGCCAGATATGCACCCTAAACCATATACCCAAAACCCACCACCCTTCACACTGTGACTAAACTCGAACTGTCACCCTGAGCTGAGTCTGCGTGTAGGGGTGATTTAAGGGGGTTTAGGGTGCTTAGGGGTGTTTTTTTCGGGGTGTTGTCAGGGTGTTTGGCATTTTGCAGGGTGTTTTCAGTACCTTTGCGGGTGCTTGCGGCGCTCAAGAGGGAGCAGCATGACACTCCCCCAGGGGCCCTAAAACCCGAAAACCCCTTAAGAAGGCAACGCGAGGCCGGCCCCCCCCCCCCCTTACTAAGCCCTAAACCCTAAACCCTATAAACCCTGTAAACCCTATAAACCCTGTAAACCCTATAAACCCTAAACCCTAAACCCTATACCCTAAACGCTCAACCCTAATGCAGGACAGTCCTTTGGCAACTTCCTGGCTCCTGGGATCACCTTCGAGCTTGAGGGCGCGAGGGCTTCGGGGCTGGGGGGTTTAGGGTTTAGGGTTTAGGGTTTAGGGTTTAGGGTTTAGGGTTTAGGGTTTAGGGTTTAGGGTTTAGGGTTGTGACAAGCTTAGTATAGGATTCGGAATAATTATAGGGGTCGGAATAATTACGAATAATGTTCTCTTATGGCCCCTTTGTAACAAAACTATAATGACCCCAAAACCCTATTCTAATTGTTCAGGCCCCTGTATTATGTGGGCCTTTCGGGAGTAGGGTTTTAGGGTTAAAGGTGTAGGGCTTCGGGGTTAGGGCTTAGGGCTTCAACTGAGGGCTTTAGGGTTTCAGGTTTGAGGGGTGGGTTGAGGAGGCTTGTGGCACTTTGCGCAGCTCGGTTGGATATGTGTGTCTCTGTGTGTGTGTGTGTGTGTTCTCGAAGTTTCGGACTTCGGGGTTTGGCTTTTGAAATGGAGGCATGGCACATGTAGAGAGGGATTCCCCTCCCCCCCCGCCCAGAATCCTGAAGCAGCCCGAAGCTCATAAAGTTTAGGATTTCTGCTTTACGGTTTGGTGTAGGGGTTTAGGGGCGAAATAGGAGTCTTAGGGGTTTTTCGGGCTGAAAGGGTTCAGGGGGTCTTTTGTAAAGGTCTCGGGGATGAGTTTTTTGTGCGGCTTATTCCTCTTCAACGCGAGGGGAACATCTTAGCCGCAATCTACGGTTCAGGGTTTCAAGGTTTAGGGCTTGAGAAAAGCACCCGAAGAAAAGCTCGGGGGAGGCGACGCCAACGACTACATTGGCAAGGGCCTCAGTGGCGGCACCCTGATCGTGTACAAGCCGAACCAGGCCTTCATTGCTTTGGGCTTCGGGTCTTGGGTCAGGTGCGGGGCCTCGCAGTTAGCCCTCTTCCGGGCTTTCAGGTTCACTACAAACCTCCCACAGTCGAGATCCTTACAGGTTTTGAAGCGCGCAAAAAGCCCGAAAAAAAAGAACAAACCCTCAACCCTACCTAAGCCTTTCAGGGTGTATAGGGCTGACAGGATCTTCAAGCACCCTACCAACAACCCCCTCAGCCCCTCATCCGTTCTGGGCACCCGCCACCGGTAAACCCTGAAATCCGAGACCCTTAAACTCTGGGGATCCGTGACCCTCGCTTAGCACACCATAGCAGGGAAATGGCCCCCCTCCTAGCTTTCTCAACGTATGGTTCTTTCCTCTTACGCAAATGTTTTTCGTAATCTTTCGTCATCAACTATGCCCATCACGAGATGGTCTTTTGACATCGGCCCTGATCTTCTTGTCATTGCAATTTGCTCTAACACATGCTAATGGAGCAACAGATGTCCACACAAAGACCAACGTGTGAAGGCTTTGATTAGCAAATGACAGCCTAAACTTACGTATCAAGCACGGGTCCCTCAAAACGGCCCAGACAAGGGGTTGGACCCTTGATCAACTCTCTTACTGTATAGGGGCCCCCCCGAATTTCCGGACAAAGCCCCCTTGAGCGCAGGCCCCCTACGCGTCCCACGACGCCATCATCGCCGGCAACGCCGCGCTCTACGGAGGCGTCCTGGGCTTTCAGGGAGCTCTTGGGGATTTCAGGGGGGAAGGGAGGCGCTAAGGGGGGCTAAGGGGGGGCTTAGGGGGTGTGGGGGGGGGGCTTGGAGTGGGAGTTTAGGGCCTCTGGGGCTTAGGGTTTCGGGGTGCTTGCGAATTTAGGGTGCATTGGGAACTTCCGGGTTATTGAAGTTGGGGTCTTGAGGGGTATAGTTCTCTTGGCTTAGGGGTTCCTAAGCCTTGAGGCCTATAGACCCCAAAGACCCTTGCGGTGCTGGGGATTTGGCTTCTGGGGACTGGAGTGGCCGAGGTTGAGTCCGACATGAGCATCCACCCAGTCCTTCCAAGTTCCAAGATGCTGTTGTTGATGACCATCCTCTGCTGGGTAGTTCTTTTTGGGATAACTTTAAGTTTCCTTACTTTTCAAAGCTCTTTAAGGCACCACTCAGTGCGGGATTTCCCTCCTTCTACTAACAGTCCTTAAAAGGGATTATGCTAGGGCTACTATCATCCCTGCTAAGGACTGTTAGTTAGCATAAGGAGGAACATCCCAAACAATCCTATTTTAGGCTATGGTCGACTATGATACGCTGCAACATACAAAATGCCTTATGAGAGACTTTAATCAATCGACAATGCTGCTGTACTACGCTATAGGGTAGATGCCGCAAGCTATGCCGATGTACTAGAACATACCATCGGGGGAATACGCCCTAAGCCCTAAACACTAATCCCTACACCCTGGACCCCTAAACCCCTAAATCCCTAGACCCCTAAACCCCTAAACCACTAAACCCTAAAACCCTAAACCCTAAACCCTACGTACAGCCTATACCCTGAACCCTAAACCCTCTTCCAGGCACGGCCGGCAAGGCCTTCTTCGCCGGCATCGCCGCCGAGCGCTTCGCCGTGCGCAACTCGGGCGCCACGGCGGTCTGCGAAGGCGCCGAGGGCCTTAAAAGGGGTTTAGGGTTTAGGGTTTAGGGTTAGGGTTTAGGACCCTAGGCCCTCATTCCCATTTTTTCAGGGTTGAGGTTGCCTTATATGTGTTTTAAACCCAAAAATGGTACTCTGTTTTTTGTCCTAGGCTACGCTGGTGTCTAGTCTTTGGGTTTATGGTGTCTAGGCTTCATAGGGGGTTTAGATGGAGGGTTTAGAGGTGAGGGGGCTCAACCCTAACCCTAAACCCTAAACCCTAAACCCTAAACCCTAAACCCTAAGACCTAAGACCCTAAACCCTAAACCCTAAACCCTAGAATCCAAAGCCTACTACTTTTCAAAGTTTGAAATCAGAGGCAGAGAGGCTCTTGAGGGTCTGCTGGGACTTGAGGATGTATTTGTTGAGGGCCAGGTTGGCCCTAGACCCTAAACCCTAAACCCTAAACCCTAAACCCTAAACCCTAAACTTTCTCACCCCCTGAAGAGCACTGAAGCAGGCGTGGGCGACCACGGATGCGAGCAGCCTGGCGAGCATTTTTGCAACCAAGACTCAAGACCTAAACCCTAAACCCTACATCCTAAACCCTAAACCCTAAACCCTAAGCCCTAAGCCCTAAACCCTAAACCCGAACAGCCCTTAAAACCCCCCCCCCCCCCCTCCACCCCCCCTCAATCGAAGCCCTACACCCAGCCCCTCCTCACATGAAGGGCTCTTATTATTCGTCACCCTAGAAGGACACCCCACAGTTCCACCCTGTTTCTATGGGATTCGGGTACCCAAGACTTAAGACCCTCAACGTCCTGGGTGCAAAAGGAGACTCGAACTGGGAGGGGCCTTCAATCTTCAAGCACCAGATCGGAGTTCAAGGGTTTAGGGTTTTCTGGGTTGAGAATTGCAACTCTGAGGTACATGACTCGTGGCACGGTGATCGTCCTCGGTCAGTCGCTAGCCTGACTTAGCAGGTTTTTTCTTCCTGGTAGCTGGGCGTTCGTGTTTGCGACGGCGGGCCTGGAAGTCTAGGGATTCGGGTTTGGGGTTGGGGGTGTAGGTTTGCAGGCTTAGGGTTTGGAGCCTCACTCTAAACCCACCAAGAACCCTGAGCCTTCCAGACCTCCATGACCCTGAGGCAATCAGATTACTTTGAAAAAAGTGACGTATATAGCAAGAGGGTTGAATTCGGGTTTTGGGTAGGAATGGGAACGCTTACGGATGGTTCTCCGTTCTTCGGGGAGCATTTATGTTTCTGCGACTGACTGCTTCCATTGTCTGGATACCCAGGATGACCCCCCAGAGAGTTTAGGGGTTTACCGAAAATCAGGGCCCCCCTAATATAGTCCCCAAATAGTAGGATTCCCTTCGAATCAGGACCCCAGTAAGGTGCCCCTAATTTAGGAGTCCCTGCTTGAGCACCCCTGCTCTAAGGAATGTAGTTGTTGTATTTCATCACAGCAACACCCTTTTCAAGTCCAGGTCTGTCTGTACTCCTTAAACCCCAAACCATCCTAAGCCCCACGACCCCAAACCCCAAACCCCAAACCCCAAACCCCAAACCCCAAACCCCAAACCCCAAACCCCAAACCCCAAACCCCAAACCCCAAACCCCAAACCCCAAACCCCAAACCCAAACCCCAAACCCCAAAACCCAAACCCAAACCCTAAACCCTAAACCCTAACCCTAAACCCTAAACCCTACCCCCCCCCCCCCCCCCCCTTTTTTCAGCTCACGGCCTGCAAGCGCCCCTAAGTCACACGAAGCCCGGGCCTTTCTCCTTGGGCTAGGATGGGCTCAAACTTCGCGGCGGGCATGAGCGGAGGTGCCAGGGCTCTCTCCTCCTTCTTTGGGGGTATTTAGGGGGGGGGGGGTTTAGGGTTTAGGGTTTGTCAGAATGAAGTACACCGGGAGTTGTGGATTTAGGGTTTGGGATGTCTTGGGGGGGGTAATTTGGGAAGGGTTGGGGTGTTGGGTGTGCATGATCTCCTGTTTGCTTACAAGGCCGCCACTAACACCTGAGCCCCATACCCCGAAACACCCCAAACCTGAAACAACACGTCTCCCAAATCCGGAACCCTTATGGGGGGTGTTGATGGGGGAAAATGTCGGGCTCAGGAGTTTCAGGCGTCAACGGTTACTTTAACAGGGCTTCGGGTTTAGGGTATGTCTAAATGTAGCTACATGGGTGGTCCCTAACCTCCTTTAAAGGGTTCTGATGTATGGGCCCTTGACCACACTATGGAGCTACCCTAAGAACCCCCAACCCCTGCACCCTAAACCTAGACCTCTAACCCTTTCTTTAGGGGGGGTGGGGGGTGGGGGGGGGGGGGGGGTTCGGGAGGGGCTGGATCTGGAATGTAGGGCTGTCTCTCATTCATGAACTTCCGAGCAAAAGGGAGCTTGTGAGGGGGTGAGGGGGGGGGGCGGGGGGGGAATGGGGTTAAGGGTTTAGGGTTTAGGGTTTAGGGCTTAGGGTTTAGGGTTTAGGGTTTAGGGGTGCTATGGGGGTTGGGGTTTAGGACTGCCCAGCTTCTTGAGGGGGCTTTTAGGGGTTAAAGGTTTAGGAAGCAGGAACCCTAAACCCTAAACCCTAAACCCTAAACCCTAGACCCTAAACCCTAAACGGCTTTTCGGATTTGGGGCTTAGGGTTTAAGAGGTTTTGAGCCCGGTGATGAGGCATCGCCTTCATCTTGGACATGGAGGAGGCCTTGTGCAACAAGGCCGCCCCCTAAACCCTAAACCCTAAACCCTAAACCCTAAACCCTAAACCCTAAACCCTAAACCCTAAACCCTAAACCCTAAACCCTAAACCCTAAACCCCCAAAAAAACAACCTAAACCCTAAACCCTAAACCCTAAACCCTAAACCCTAAACCCTAAACCCCCTACACTTTCGGGATGCCTTGAGGTGGCCTGAAGGGTTTTAAATGCTTGAGAACCCTAAGACCTCAAGCCCAGCCTCATGCTTTTCCCACCCCCACCCCGCCCCCCCCCCCCCCCCCCCCCCCCCCCCCCAGAAAAAAAACACAGCGCAACAAAGCAGAGCAGTAACGCAGAACAGCAATATGTGGCCTAAGCCCGAGCACCCTCAATCCTAAAACCCCGCTTATCCCCCAACAGAACCCCCTGGCCTCGCGAAGCTCCAGATGCATTTCGAGTTATTATTGCGCTTTAGGGCTTGCAGGGTTTTAGGGGGCTAGAAGCGTTTTGTTTTTTAGGGTTTGCGTGTAATTATGGGGTTTACCGTGCTGAATGTTTATGTCGTCGATTGGGTTGAGAGAGTATTATATGTTATGGAGTTTGGTCTTCGCCAAAACCAGCAGTTTAGTTGCTGGGGTTTTCGGGGCACCCTAAACCCTAAAGCCTAAACCCTAAACCCGAAACCTTAAACCCTAAACCCTAAACCCGGAAACAAAGGTCCAACCCCCCCCCCCCCCCCCAAAAAAAAAAACCAGCAGTCTGCTGTTGCTGAGTTGGTGGCCCAGGGCTTCTAGGGTTTTAAGTTGTTTAGGGTTTTTGGGGCACCCTAAACCCTAAACCCTAAACCCTAAACCCTAAACCCTAAACCCTAAACCCTAAACCCTAAACCCTAAACCCTAAACCCTAAACCTTAAAGAATGGGTACTAGTTAGGCGGCCCATTCAAGCGCCACGCTGTTTTTGAGTTTGCCTAAGCCCTGGTGGTTTACCATGGGGTTTGGGTTCAGAAGACCCAACCATAAACCCTAGACCGCCTAAACCCTAAACCCCAAACCCCAAAGCCTAAACCCTAAACCCTAAACCCCAAACCCCAAACCCTAAACCCTAAACTGAGCCACCCGGCTTTGTGAAGAACTGTGAGCTCGACAGGCCAGTGTCCACCTCGAGGGCATCGTCGAGGAGGAGGACAAGACGCTGCTGAAGGACCAGCAAGCCTCAGAGTATTGGGTTTAGGGTTTTAGGGTTTAGGGTTAAGGGTTTAGGGTTTTAGGGTTTAGGGCACGGGGTGCTATGGGATTAGGATTTAGCGTTTTTTTGAATTCATGGCTTAAGATGTTTGAGGTTTGGAGCTTCAGATTGTGCTCCGCACTTCTTCGGCGAAGGGGCCCAAAGGGCTCATAGCGTTAGTGAAGAGGGGCTCCGAAGAACTTTGCCCAGTGAAGCCTAAAGTTCCTGCATAACCACCCCTCTAACACCCGCAACACACCCTAACCCCCCCCCTAAACCCGGAACGCCCCTCTACACCCCCAAAACACCCCCTACCACCCCCTACCACCCCCTACCACCCCCTACCACCCCTCTAAACCCCCCTCTAAACCCCCTAAAGCCCTAAATCCCTCAACCCTAGAAGCCCTGACTGATCAGCCCTGAAAATCCTCCAGGACCTCATCACAGAGCATCAGAAGTTCACGGGCAGCAAGGCCCGGGAGCCTTCGAGGGAGGTCAAAGGAGCATTGGGTTTGTGCTTTAGGGTTTGTGGTTTAGGGTTTAGGGTTTAGGGTTTAGGGTTCAGGGTTCAGGGTTCAGGGTTCAGGGTTCAGGGTTTGGGGTTCAAGGTTTAGGGTTTAGGGGCCTCCCAGTAAACCTGGGACTTACTTGGACTTTGGAGGGTTCCTAAGCCTAAGCAAAGGGGGAATAGCGACTTAGTGTTTAGAGAAAACATCTAGGGTTTCGGGGCGGGGAAAGAGGTTGTAACTGTAGGCGGGTTCAGGACTTCGTTGTACGCAAAATTTAGGGGGTTGAGGAGGGTTTGAGAAGGTTGGAGGGGCGGAGTTTGCAAGCCTTCCATGAGCCCCACAATCCTCTTTCAGCCCTATAGCAACCCTATAGGCCCTATATAAGCCCTTAACACTTAACCCTTAACCGTAAACCCTAAACCCTAGACCCCAAAAACCCTAGACCCCAAAATCCCTAAACCCTAAACCCTAAACCCTAAACCCTAAACCCTAAACCCTAAACCCGAAGTCGAAGGTCGCCTCGGACTTGCTGGCCAAGTGGGCCGACTCCTTGCCCCTTTGCCTCGGTGTTTCGGGTCATATAGGGTTTAGGGTTTAGGGGTTCAGGGTTTAGGGTTTAATTCGGGGTTTGGGTTTAGGGTTTAGGGTTTACGGGTTTAGGGTTATAGGGTTTAGGGGTTTAGGGGTTAGGGTTTAGGGTTTAGGGTTTAGGGTTTAGGGTTTAGGGTTTAGGGTTTAGGGTTTAGGGGTTTAGGGGTTTAGGGGTTTAGGGGTGTCGGGCTTGCGGTGGGCTTAGGGTTAATAGGGCTTATAGAGGGCTTATGCGGGTTTCAGGGTCTGTAGTGTGTTGGTTTTTGGGGTTTAGGGTTTCAGGATTCATGGTTTCAGCTTACGGTTTCCAGGTTTGATACGGCTCGGGTTGACCGATATTTGTTGACATCAGACACTCAGACGCTCAGCCACTCACAAGCGTCTAAGTGACTGAGGCTAAGACTTTGAGTGACTGAGAGACTGGGTCCAGCCTCCGAATATGGAAGTCTAAGTGTCTGAGTGATTGCCCACCGTTAGAACGGCTGCGCCCCCCCCCCCCCACCCCTTATTTGGTTCGTGGTCCCTACAAGCCCTATAAACCCCGATAAGCCTACCTAGAAACCCTATAAACCCGTTCAAAACCCTAAAAACTCCATCAACCCAGAATAACTGTAAACCATCTAATCTAAACCCTATACTAACCATATATAAACCCCTAAACCTTATACACCCCCTACACCCCCTCAACCCTTGATGAAAGAGACGATCAGGAAGCGCTTCACGAAGGTCTTCCCCAAGGAGTCCCTTGGACGGCACGTAGGTAAAGGGCATGAGTGGTTTTGGGCTCAAGGAGTTCGATTTACCTTACTATTACTGGTTCTTAGTAGGGGATGAGGGAATTCCATACCCTATGTACAATCCCTTAAAGGGTATACCGGGGAATATAGGGTACCGAACTCGAACCAGCAGGTTTAGCGTTCAGGGTGTTCGGGTTTAGGGTTAGGGTTTTGGGTAGTCTTGTTTAGGGACACTAGATGGCCCACTGTCAGAGGATGTCAGGGCATTTCCCCACAACGTGGCTTTTGAAGTCGACGTTCTTAGGGGTTCCCTTTTGGGGACTCTGAGGAGTCCTGGCAGCTTTTTGCTGAGGGAGGGGGGTGGAGACGCTGGGCTCAGCGTGTTCGGGTTTTTTCGGGTTGGAGGTTTTAGGGCGGGTTCGGGTTTAGGGCTTGGGGCTTACAGGGTTTGGGATGAAACGCTGCGAGCTTGGCTCTCCATGGGCTCGTCGGGGTTTTTATTAGGGCCCTTTGGGGGTTAGGGTGTAGGGTGTAGGGTTTAGGGTTATAGGCATTCGCGCTCTTCTCGATACCCTTGTCGTGACATGGGTCACTAAGCAAATCTCCGGTCCTGAAACCCGATGCCAGCCAAGCCCAAGGTACAAGAAGGCCTTGCTCGAGGCCAAAAAGGGGTCCAAAGAGGAGGCGCCGACGGGAAAGGGGTCAGGTGAGGGGGGGCGAAGAGTTGTGAGGTGGACAGGACCATGTTGCTCAAGCAGCTGGGCTGTCTCCGACCTAGCATAGCATGCGGCCGTAGTACGCTCCTAGCTGATACCCCACCACAACTCGCCAACACCCCTAGCCCTAAAACCCGAAACCCTAACCCGAAGCTCTCAACCCTAAGCTCTGAACCCTGAACCCTAAACCCCAAGCCCTCTCTTTAAGCCCCGTTAAGAACCCTTCAAAAGCGCCTCAGAGCCTGGGCGCAGGCGCCTGCGCCTGCGAAGCCGGCGGCCCCGCCTTCCCCAACTGCAAACGACCTGGAGGCGCCAGTTGTTTAGGGTTTAGGGTTTAGGGTTTAGGGTTTAGGGTTTAGGGTTTAGGGTTTAGGGTTTAGGGTTGGAGGGTTTCAGGGTTTCAGGGTTTCAGGGTTTCAGGGTTTCAGGGTTTCAGGGTTTCAGGGTTTCAGGGTTTCAGGGTTTCAGGGTTTCAGGGTTTCAGGGTTTAGGGGTTTCAGGGTTTTAGGGTTTCAGGGTTTCAGGGTTTAGGGTTGGAGGGGAGGGACTAAGGGTTTCAGGTCGTGTTCGGGGTTTGGGGTTGGAGGGATGAAAGGGTTTCAGGTAGGGTTAGGGCGCGGGCTTGGCGGGATGAAGGGTTTCAGGGTAGTGGTCCGGGGGGTAGGGTTTAAGGGGATGTTCAGGACTAGTTTTTTTATCTTGGGGATGGGGTGTAGAGGCTTAGGGCTTGGGGGTTTGGGGCGCACAAGGGTTTGCGGGCGTTTACATAGGGGGTTCATGGGGCTTACTTTCTTCCAGGTTTACAATTGTTTCATTAGGGGCGTACAGTGCGCGGGTTCGCAGTTCAGGAGGTGTGGGGTTGAGGGGGTTTGGGGCCTCTGCGTATGGGAGCTTAGGACTTTGGTGCGTCTTAACCGCCTTCGAGCCTCACAAAGTTTGGCTAAGAGGGCCGGATTCGCCAAGCACCGCAAAGTGATCCTGAACTACACAGGCACACACACACACACACACACACTCACAGACACACACAGCCGAATGCCGAGGGTTCAGGCGAGACCCTAAACCCTAACCCTAAACCCTAAACCCTAAACCCTAAACCCTAAACCCTAAACCCTAAACCCTAAACCCTAAACCCTAAACCCTAAATCCTAAATCCTAAATCCTAAACCCTAACCCTAAACCCTAAACCCTAAACCCTAAACCCTAAACCCTAAACCCTAAACCCTAAACCCTAAACCCTAACCGCAAGGACGCCGCTGGCAAGAGTCGCGCCAGGGCCATCTCCGTCTCGATGCCGGCACCTTGCCCGAAGTTGATGGTTCCACCGGACTAGGGGTTTCGGGTTTAGGGCTAGGGTTTGGGGTTTCGGGTTTGGGGTTTAGGGTTTAGGGCTAGGGTTTAGGGCTTGGGTTTAGGGCTTGGGGGTTAGGGTTTGGGGTTCGGGGTTTGGGGTTTAGGGGGGGATTCTCTCTGCGGGTACCCTTTTTTGAGGTCCTTTCCTAATAACTACGGTTTGTTTTTTTTTTTGGGGGGGGGGGGGTCAAATGGCAGGGGCCCCTAGTTTGGGAAATGTTCATATGGGCGCTGCCTTGGCAAAGTCTGACAAGATCTGGGTCCGGCTGGCGGTTTTGTTTAGCGGTGGGGGGGGTGTGTGCGAATAGGGATCCTAAAAACTTCGTGGTTCAGGTGCGAAAGTTGCCCGCGGCCCTTGGCACCCTAATTGAACAGGGTTGAGGGTTTATGGTTTCTAGGGTTTAAGGGGACCCTCACCCCGCAGCTGCGCCTGAATCTTGCGAGGCTAGGTGAAGGAGGCAGCGGGCACCAGATGAGCTGGAACAGACGTAGGGTGATAGGGGTTGATGTGGTCTCTCACCTCCTTTAAAGGGGTTCTGGTCTATGGGCCCTTGGGTTGTATAGAGTATATATATATATATACATATATATAACGGGTATAGAAGGGGTCCCCACTTAACGGCCCATACCAAGGGACCATGTAACTGCCCTAAGGGGAAAGCCTGCTGTAAACTAGTAACTAGGATGCCCCAGTGGGCCCGGTAGTGCCCTTACTCCGCTTTAGAATCTCTTGGCAACCTACTTAAACCAAAAAGGGAACCCTGTTTTCCTCCTAGGTTGCTGGGGAACCTAGTATAGAAGCCTTAGGAGCCCTATAAACCCTATGAGCACTGCAACTCGCCGCGCTCTCATGAACCCAAAAGGTCCTAGGAGCCCTAGAAACTCTACAAAGCCTATAGACCTATCAACCCTGCATGAGCCCCCCCCAAAAAACCCAATCCTGTGAGCCCTTTACCCCCCCACCCCCCCCCCAATGAACAAACGCTAACTACCTGCAAGCTAGCGGGCCCAAGAAAGACCCATCATGCCTTACTACCTTTGTCGTAGTTGGGTAAGATTTTACATTTTTAAGGGTACTTAAACCCAAGAAGGAATGTAATTTTAAAGTTTTAATACTATCCCAAACATGAACTCGTCACCGGGAGGAGAAGAAGCGAGGCTTCCACGAGTACGAGCGCAAGGCCGTGGGGATCTGATTGGGGGTTAGTGGGTTCAAGCGTCTTGGGGTTGAACACCAAGATCATCCCCTGACAACCCCCCCCCCCCCCTAAACCCTAAACCCTAAACCCTAAACCCTAAACCCTAAACCCTAAACCCTAAATAGAACTGCACTGCCTCATCCCCACACAGTAAGGTTTAGGGTCCCGGGGCTTAGGACTCAGCCTGTTGCCGAAGCCTCGGACGGCCCACACTGCTCCGAGCCTTCCGCAGCCCCAGCAACTCCCAAAGACACTAAACCCTAGACCCTAAACCCTAAACCCTAAACCCTAAACCCTAAATCTAAACTCTAAACCTCAAACCCAAGGCCTTAAACAAGAATCCTTGCAGCCCAAAATAGCCCCTAAACCCTAAGCCTAAGCCCCCAAGTAGCCCTAGACCCTAAGCCCCAAGGAGAGGCCAGAGAAAAGCCGCCCGACTCTAAGAAAAGCCAGGCCCTCCCCTACCGTGACCACAAAGACCGAATTCTGGACTGGGAGGCGCGCTTTGCCACGGGGTTCAGGGGCCTTGGGGTCTTAGGGCGTTTGGGGTGTTTGGGGTGTTTGGGGTGTTTGGGGTGTTTGGGGTGTTTGGGGTGTTTGGGGTTTTGGGGTTTTGGGGTGTTTGGGGTGTTTGGGGTTTTGGGGTGTTTGGGGTGTTTGGGGTGTTTGGGGTGTTTGGGGTGTTTGGGGTGTTTGGGGCTTTAGGGTGTGGGGTTTAGGGCTTGGGGTTCAGGGTCTCAACCAAACAGCTTTGAACGACCACGGTCTAAGGAACTGTGCAAGTGATGCACAAGGGCAAAGGCATGTGCAGTAACTGCTTGCGCCCCAATCCGAAGTCCCTAAACCCTAAGCCCTAAGCCCTAAACCCTAAACCCTAACCCCTAAACCCTAAACCCTAAACCCTAATTAAGCCCTCATCCTTGAGTTCCCCAATGACTTCTGGACTTGGGCTTTGCGCAGCTTGAGCAGGGGTTCTTTGGAGGTTCTTTTCGGGTTTAGGGCTTAGGGTATAGGGTTTAGGGTTCAGGGTTTAGGGTTCATGGGTACTTGTAACCCCAATTATAACTTCCAAGTAGGGTAGAAGTAGACTCATAGCTGGGGTTGGGATGTTCAAGAACAGTCCTTAATAGGGATTACAGTACCCCCTGGTATAATCCCGAGGAAACTGTTAGTATAAGGGGGAACATCCCAAAATTCGGGTTATACGTACCCATGAACCACCAAGTTGGGTTCCTGGAAGCAGTTTGGGCTTCAGATTTTGCAGGAGCTTATGGTTCATACAGGATGGCGCATCGGCTTTCACGTTCTTCGGTCCGAGGGTTAAAAAGGCGCCTATGGATGGGGCTTAGGGTTTTTTAGGGTTTGTAGGGTTTCAGGTTTTGTGATTTTAGGCCAAACCCTAAGCCGGTCT